CCCTCCTGCTTGCGCTATGCTTTGCTTCTTTTGCTGCTTGAGCTGTGTTCTGGTGGTGAGGAAGCCTGGGCTGAGCCATTCATTCTCTGTCAGCCTCTTCTGCGGTGAGGAAGATAGAGGTTTGGGGGAGCTGGAGTTTGGGTTTCGGTCTGTGAAGGTAGAACTGAGTCTTTCTCTAGGATAGACTTCATAGCCTTGAGCTTATCAGCACAGCACCTCAGCCCACTCAGCTACTGACTTTGTGGAATGAAAAGATTAATTTTAAAAAAACATTGGCATCTAATTACATGAACCTGGAAGTTTAAATGCAGACTAAATATAGCCTGAGTTTAATCTCTATTTTATAAATTCCACAATGTTCTGTTGTCAAATAGGACATAACATTTTTAATAAGCAAATTTTCAGAGTTGCATATAAAACTTACAGCCAGCATCTCTTGGTAAAAGAGCTGAGAATTAGCCTAGCTCAAAATGTGCCCTCTGCTTTGAAAGTGGACCTCTTTTAGCCTTCTGGAGATGATAAAGTCGAGAGTTGTCCATTAACCAACTGCTGGTTCTTACTTATTAAAATTCCATTATGATCTGTACTGGATAGAGTGATTTCTTTGTGCATCTTCTTTTGAAAGCTTTTTATAAGCAGATCTGTAGTTTCCTTTGTGAGGTCTAAACACCAGCTCTTTGTCTACTACCTAGAGGATGGAGGTTGGACTGGGCTGTGGAAGAAGAGAACTCACATGTGGGCCAAGGTCAGAGCCAGGGTCAGTTCAGGGGGCTGTTGCCTGTGAGAGCTGGGTTTAGGAGAGCCTGGCCAGCTCTGTGAAGAACTCTTTAGTAAGAGCTCCTCATAGAGCCCAGGTGAAGCCAAGGTGAGATCACCTCACCGACAGTGCAATGCAGCCAGAAGTCTTGCCCTTCCCTGCTACTAAAGGTTCTTGTCTTTACAAGCCTAGTACCTGTCATCTGTGAAATCTCCTGAGGTTAGGATAGGTCTAGTGGTTTGGAGCCATGTGCTTTTGACCCTAATAGGGGAAGTAGGATTACAAAGTGTGGAGAAACTTCAGCATCCTTCAAGTGTCTGTATTCTTTAGGAACAAGTGTCTTCGGAAGTTTCTCCCAATAACTGGGGCAGGACCTTACAATCCTCCCTTGGTTCCTAATTGCTCATAATAGGTCCCTGGCCATGGTGATAATTTTTCACAAGTTTAAAAGCTATTGGAGGCTGTGAAAATTATGTTGCTAGGTACAATAAATACTGTTGACTAGGAACTATATAATAACACATTGCACTCATGTACACACATCACACATCTAGTCCTTCCGGAAAGAGGTTTACAACTTAATTGAAACGATAGTATGATAGAGGAGACATCTTTTGGTGAATAACTGTTCAGGCAGTGGTACAAAGAAGAGGTGCTCTGGGTTAAGTAGAACAGTGGACATATTCAAAAGAGACTTCTGGGAGGAGATAGAAAATGGACTAAATTTTGTAGGCTGAATAGAAGCTGGAAAACCAGAGAGGTTGGAGGATGTGAACATGGTATGACCAAAGGCGTGGAGGTATGAAAGCCCCATTTGTTCAGGATTTCATGATTTGCCAAGAGAACCAGTGGGAAGTGAGGATGGAAAGCTATGGCGGAGCTGGAATAGGATGGAATGGCCCTGCCAAACACTGGGTGATTAAAAACTGGGACCCTGCAAGCCCACCTCACCTCATTCCACGGGAGAGTAGAAACCAAGTCATTCAGTCTCCTACCTCCTCTTACATCAAAGGGGTCAGGGATTAGGCCTCAGCAAAGAGTTTGAAGATAATATACCAAGCTGGGGAGCTCTTGTGTGGGTTCTGGGAAAACAGAGCGTTGTGGTTTTAAGATTAATGTTTTTACCCCATGGATTTTCACCACCCCTCTCCCCAGTTGTAGGACATTCTTGAGTCGTTTTTCATAGTGGATCTGAGAGAGACGCATATTTTCTTCTCCCTTCATGTATACCTACTTGGCCACAACCCCCCCCGCAACCATTGACTTCTTACGCCTCCCCCCCCTTCTTTTGTCGTCAGACATCTGCGGGATGCCAGTCTGGTCAGGATGGCACGTATCATCTCTGCTTGTGGGACAGAAGGAAACTAGTTAGTCTGTTTAAAATTTGAACTTATGCCCCTGGACTTCTGGCACAGTGCTCCTTGGCCCAAATGCCTTTGTAAATAATAAGCATCTTTCTCCCCAGCAAGATTCCTTTCCAACAAAGGACCATTTCTTTAGTTAGTAAAATGCTGGTGAATGTTTTTGTGGAGACTGCTTTGAAAATTTGGCTAAATAAGAGGAACATATCACCAAGAAATGTTTCTATTACCAAAAAAAAAAAAAAAAAGAAAAAGAAAGAGGCAAAATAGGACGTAGGCCTGGGAGTTCTGAAACCAGAACATTCTAGGTTCAGATTTCACCTCTTCCGTATAGGCCGGACGTAGTCACTCGTTCCTTGCTAGGTTGTTGTAATGGTTAGAAATAGTATATGTAAAGCACCTGGCTCACGGACACTCAGTAAAGGGTAGACATTATTAATAACATCTCCATTTTATAGAAGTTCCTCCTCCTGAGTTGGGGGTTTGCTATATTGTGCTGGTTCCGTGAGATGGTTTTAAATTAAGAAGGCAGCTGCGACTGGATGCTAACTCCGTCAAGCAGCATTCTCTGCAAGCAGTGACCACCTGAGGCCGCCTGGCAGGGGCAGGCCCCGTGCAGACCGAAGCTCACAGTCACTGACAAGAAGAATCTTTTTGTTTTTTGCTTCGTGGAGAAGGCGGTGCTGAAAGCTTTCTTCCTTGGGGAAATCAATTTCACTGTGCAGTGGATCTCCGTGAGTGGGGTCATACTACTGCTTTCCTGAAAGAGACATTTCTGTTTTTATTAATCATGGAACTGACACAAGACTGGTAGAATTTGTAAAAGAAAAGAACTTGTTTACTCTCCTTTTTGATGCACCCCCTGCCTTCCAGAGGTTAAGAGTGAAGAAGGGATTTTTACCTTACAGTCTGGAAGCCAGACCCTCTTCAGGTTTAAAATAAGCAGCCTCATGTCCTTGGAGACCTGCCGTATATGAATTTTAGGAATAAAAGGAATTCTCAGATTTTTGTCGGCTGTCATTTGGAAGGCAAAGTTACAAAGCCATAGTGCCAAGAGCCCCTAAAATAGCTGTGCATGTAATTATGGGGCTAGACATTTCCTCGTCACAAGCATGAGAATGTGTCCTTCTTGGAGTTGAATCCAATATGAAGGACCGTTGGTGTGAAGATGAGAGGCTTTTATTCTACACTGGGTTTCCTGACATATAGAGGGCCAGTCACCTTAACATAGATACAATAAGAGGTCAACATGAAATAGTTGTCTTGGGTGAGAAGAGTATTGGTATTAGTATTACCTTTTTAAAAAAAAATTATCTGTAGTTTCTGTCAACAGCAGTCATTCCTCATACTTTTGAAATTGGTTTGAACACCTGTTTCCCTTCCCCCCGCCTCTGTACATACACACACACACACACGTATATATACATACATGTGTGTAAGAAGGTCGCATGCATATATACATGCGCGCGCACACACACACACACACACACACACACACACACACACACGCACACAACATTGTATGAAGTGAAGTGCAGCCTCATGGAGTGCCATGATGGGGCAGCAACTCCCACCTTGCAGGTAGGAGGCTATAGAGAATTGGGGCCCATTTTTTGCTTCTGATGAAGAATGTTCTGCACCAATAACCAAGCGGCCTCTAGGGGGCAGCAGAACACCAACTAAAACTACCGTGCCTGGGGTTGTCCGGCTTTTCTGGCTTATTGTCCAGCTCTTCTAGGTCCATGGTGCAGCACCCACCTTCTCCCCTTGCCCAGCAAAATTCATCCTCTTGGCCTTGCCAGGCTACAGTCCACTTGCCTCCATTCTCTCCCTTCTCCTCCACACTCAAACTCTCCTGGTCTACTTTGTACCGTATCATCTAGCTTAATGCTGGGACGTGTTTGCCATTGTTTCACAACCAGCTCTACCTGTCCTTTTTGGCAGGAACAATGTTTTATGTCTCTGGATTTCCCATAATGCCAGGACTGCCCTGGAGGCCTAAATAAATGCTTGACAGCAGATGGAGGATCCCGTAATCTGTAGTGAGCCCTTGATACATATTTGCTAATTTCGTTGTCAAGATGGTCTTCTTTTTGCACAAGAGAAGACATTTTATTTGCTTCACTTATTTCTGAAATGGCTACTTTCTCACACGCATTCTGGTTTTAGATTGGAGTGTAAGATGTAGGTGTGATGGAGGGCATGAACTTTGGTGCCAGAGTTGTAGGATGCCTCCTCCCCTTCCTGGTTGTGTGCCTTGCTCAAGTTAACTTCTCAGCCTCTGTTTTCTCACCTACAAAATGGGCCTTCTTTAAGGTGATCATATAATTTTAACTAAACTGGAGTACAGAGTGAAGGAGGATATTTAAAAATATTATCCTATAGTTTTTTGAAATATTTATTGACTGGGGAGTGGTTTTCATTTTTTTTTGACTTGTCTATAAAATTGTTCTATTCAAAAATGGTTTTCCCAAAATAACATTTCCATGCAATATGTGCCCTCCTTAATACCCATCACCGGGGTATTGCATGGAGCACTGGGTGTTATACGCAAACAATGAATCATGGAACACTACATCAAAAACTAATCATGTACTGGGTGGTGACTAACATAACATAATAAAAAAATAACATTTCCTACAAAATATTAATATACAAACAGGACACATTGTAAACGGGCTGGCATGCTGGAACAGAAGGTGTAAACCATATGGTGCTTCAAAGAATCAAAGCACGTAACGTGTGTGAAGTGTGTAGTGCCGTGCCTGGGACATACTATGTATTCAGGAAATGAAGATTTCATTTTCCTTCCTGGAAGAAGGTTGGACAAAGAAGCACTCCCCAACAGACCAGAGACCTATGGCTTTTATTTTTTTTTTAAGGGTGCTGCCAGGAGGCTGTGCTCCTAGCTCTCCAGATTCTACCAACCCAAGGTGTGAGTTTTGTCCAACCCTAGCAGGAACATACCGATTGGAGAAGATGGTCCTGCTTATGTGTATTCAGATAGCTGCCTCAGCGGTAGAGAGCGTACCCCGGGGATGCTGCGCATTTTGGGTAATAATTTGGCTGACCTGTGAGCACAGAGCTCTTCCGTTTACTTGCGAAGTTCCTACTCCTTCTGGGCAACTTGCCTGGAAAGCTGGAGCAATGGGTCTTGGCACCCCTGTTCTGCACCCAGCTCCTGCTATTTAGGAGCAATTGTGCTTAAATATTGGGCTTACCATAAACATAATAGTTTGAGCTGTAAAATATATAACTGTCTTGAAGGTTTGTGTCCCCATGTAACTGGAAGCTTAATTGCCATTCTGTGATGAGGCTTCCAGGGTTGGGCAGTCCCCTTTTAGAAACTGTAAATTCACCACTCTTCACCCTGCCTCTTGTAAGTGCTATTTTGCTCTGGTAATGAGAGCTCTCGAGCCTGTGTGTTCATTTAACCTCAAGCCCCTCAGAACTGAGGCTTGTGTTTTTGCCGGTTCCTGGTCTGTTGGAGAATTCAAGGAGTGCTCTGTGTGGCCTCCTGGAAGCAGGGAAGGATCTCCACACGGTCGCTAGCAGTGTGTGACAGGAGAATCAGGGGCAGAAGCAGGTAGTAGTGAAGGGACAGCCCACTGCATGGCTCCTAACAGCCTCTTCTCTCTCTAGGTATGTGTACATTCCAGTAGGCGGGTCCCAGCATGGCCTGCTGGGGACACTGTTTTCCACCGCAGTGACGTTTGCGTTTGTGAGCTTCTGGCATGGCGGCTATGACTACCTCTGGTGCTGGGCGGCCCTCAACTGGCTGGGAGTCACCGTGGAGAACGCAGTCCAGAGGCTTGTGCAGACCCCGTGCGTCCAGGACAGCGTGGTGAGCAGGTGGTGTGGGACCATTGAGCCAGGTGGACTAGGCCTGGGAGGGAAGGCGGTGATCAGATTCACCCCAAAATGGGCCATTTTTGCCAGATTGGTTCAAAGAGTATGTGCCCAGAGGTAGCAGGTTTTGTTTTGTTTGTACATAAGTGTTTCAAAGCAATGCATGCCTACTGTATAAAAATAAGAAAATTCACACAAGAGGAAAAGAAAAATACCTTTTCAACAAAAACTGTTACAACTATTCTTTATATTTTTCTTTATATATACGCACACATGTATAACGTTTAACACAAATGCTATTATTCCAGAGACATAGTTGTATGAGGACCACCTTTCTATGTCACCAAATCCATTTCTAACAACCCCTTTGAATGGCTACACAGAATTCCATTATGTGGCTATGCCATCATTTATTTAATTAGTCTCCTGCTATTGGGCAATTGTGTCATTCTAATTTTTGGCAGTTGTCAATCAAAATGGAGATGAGTATCATAACTGGGACAAATTCTTATATGTAAAATTGCTAAGTAAAAGTTTCTCACCCTTTTCGCCATGCATACAGCTTAACTCTTCCTTAACTGCCCTGCAGTCAAAGTGTGCCAATTGACTTTCCTCCCAACAGTGCATGAGGATGCCCTTGCCAGTACTGAGTAGTGCTGGTATTTTTAATCTTGGCTAATTTGATAGATACTGTTAGTGTAGCATAAAAAAAAAAAAAAAAGAAAAAAACAGCTAAGTGCTTAAGACGCATTCTGATTCCACAGGAAAATGATTTGGAAAATTTGGCACTTTACACATGTTACACAAATGTTTTATCATATAAAAGTGATATACAGTATATTAGAATCTTGTAGGAAATAGTCAGTTCTGAATATGCAGCAGTATTCTGATAACCCTGAAAAGAGTGGCTAAAAAGAAATATGCTGTCATCCATGTTCACGGCAGGCAATAAAACACAAGAAATTTACTGAGTCGTGATTAATATGCCTAAACTCCCCCAGTGTACGCAACTAAAGCAAATATATTTCAGAAACCCAACACTACCAAATAGAATACATTTGGGTTTTTTTTCCTGTAAAGATAGCCATAGTAAAAGTGGACAGTTATTTGAATAAAAACTGATACAAAGCACATAGCAAAATAACACATCTGAAGGAATTTAAATATGCTCATGTATGTTTAAAGATAAATATTTTATTCAGTAGTAGTACCCAGCAATCATCAGGAAAGAAATGTCAGTGAATCTTAATAGAAAATGGAATTGCAATGAAAGTCATGGCTATGTAACACAAAGGAAAACCATACAAGCTGGTATCATCGAGGTTTCAGTCTCCATCTTCAAATCCGAATAGTCTTCCCCGAAGCCTGAAACCCAGTTACCATCTGTGAAAGGCAGAGAATTCTTCTCAGCCTAGGCTGAAGCCCTGTAACACATCTCCCCATTCCTTCAGGGAGGGTCTAAAATTAACCTTGAACTTAATGTTAAGCACTGCTCTGTAGACTTTGAGCTGTGGCTTATGTTATTGACAAATTTTCAAAACCTAAAATCTTAAAGGAGGAACCCAAACTGTGCTATGTAGCCTTGTTAATTTTGGTTAAAAATGAAGACAGTGAGAACATTTACTCACAGGATGAAGCACGTGAATGTCTGCTCTGCCTCATCACAGCTTAGTCCAGGACCCTTGTGTGTTTGCCTCATTTGAGCTCCCATCCACAAGTCACACACCTAAGTGGATAGTAATTTTTGAGTATGCGTTTTTTTGGTGAGATGTATGTCTGTATATTATGAATATGGTGTTTAGGGTACATATTTATTGAGCAAGAACATATTTTGTAAAGCCTATTTTATCACCTTCTATCCTGACAGCCTGGTAGTTGCTTATAGCTATGTAGACAAGGAGTCCTTGAGTATGAGATCAGGATTCCATTACTGTTTATATCCCCAGTGGTTAGCTCGGCATCTGAGTTAGCCACAGTGTTAAGTCAGTGCACAATTGGGTTGATTCTTTTTTTTTTTAATTCAGTTAGCCAACATATAGTACATCATTAGTTTCAGAGGTAGAGTTCAGTAATTCGTCGGTTGCATATAACACCCAGTGCTCATCACATCACATGCTCTCCTCAGTGCCCGTCGCCCTGTTACCCCAACCTCCCACCCCCTACCCTCCATCAGCCCTCAGTTTGTTTCCTATGGTTAAGAGTCTCTCATGGTTTGTCTCCATTTCTGATTTCTTCCCATTCAGGTTTCCCTCCCTTCCCCTATGATTCTCTGGGCTATTTCTTATATCCCACATATGAGTGAAACCATATGATAATTGTCTTTCTCTGATTGACTTATTTCGCTCAGCATAATACAATTGGGTTGATTCTTTAGTTCTTCCACTTGTCCACGCAAAGATTTTTTCCCATTATTCTGTTTCTTTTTTTTTTTTTTTAAAGATTTTATTTATTTATTTGAGCGAGAGAGAATGAGAGATAGAGAGCACGAGAGGGAAGAGGGTCAGAGGGAGAAGCAGACTCCCCGCCGAGCAGGGAGCCCGATGCGGGGCTCGATCCCGGGACTCCAGGATCGTGACCTGAGCCGAAGGCAGTTGTTTAACCAACTGAGCCACCCCCAGGCGCCCCATTATTCTGTTTCTTTCTTTTTTTTTTTAAAGATTTTATTTATTCATTTGAGACAGAGAGAGAGAGAGAGAGAGAGAGAGAGAGAGAATGAGCAGGGGGAGAGACAGACGGAGAAGCAGGTTCCCTGCTGAGCCAGGAAACCGATGTGGGGCTCGATCCCAAGACCCTGGGATCATGACCTGAGCCGAAGGCAGACGCTTAACCATCTGAGCCACCCAGGCGCCCCCATTATTCTGTTTCTTAACACAGTTCAGCATAGATTCTGTTTTCCTTCAGAAAAATAGGGCTGGCATTTCAAATATTGTGTAACCTTTTGAATAAACTGTTTCCCCACTTGGGTTACTCTCCTTTCTCTTTTCATGAATCCATTCCCCATTCTTTTGTCTTAATCCAAATGAAGACTTAATGCCTCCTTAGCACCTAATTTCCTCTGATGTTAGTCTCCATGATTGATCTGATAGTATTTTTACAATGGGAGTTCACCACCCCTGCCCCAGGCTGCTCATATATTCTCTCCAATGACGTTAATCCTTCATCTGTTTTTTTTTTTTAAAGATTGGTTGGAAGATACTTGAGTACCAAGGATGATCATATCTTCTTTTCCCATATCTTTTTCATCTTCGACCTCAAAGCTTTGTCTGGAGCACAAAATACAGTAGGATTTCTCAGTGTTGATGAAATGGCAGTTGAACATTCACCAGAAGACTAATCAGAGCTGAGTGTTGTAGGAAACCCTCTGATGTCCTAGGCAGGGCTGTCCAATTGAACTTTCTGCAGTAGTGGAAATGACCAATACGGAAGTAACAAGCCACACTGAGCACTTGAAATGTGACTATTGTCACCGAGAAACTAATTTTTAAAAATTATAATTTTAATTAATTTGAGACTAAGTAGCTCCCATGTGGCCAGGGGCTTCCATTTTGAGCAGTACAATTCTAGAACATACCCCTATCAAGACAAAAATTACAAGAATGTAGAATGTTATAATTTCAAATAATGTTCATTAATGATGAGGCACCTCGTATATCCAATGGCTACTGAGCTGTTGCACTTGTGTATCTCACAGATATCTCAGACTTAGCATATGTAGTCCTGGACTCGTGTACCCCATTCCCCCGTAAGTCCAACTAGCTCCTTTCCCTCTAGCGTTCTCTGTTTCTAGAAAAGTCATCCTTAATCTAGTTACTCAAGGCCCAAACCAGCAAGTTACCCTTTGTACTCGCTCTCCCTCTGTTCTACCTGTATGTACCGTATATTCTATCTCCTAGGTAGATCTTATTTTTAAAAATTATTTCCATTTCTGCTAAGTCATCTTAATCTTGCTGTTCTTGTTCCTTGCCCAGTCTACCAGATAGTTTCTAACTAGTTTCCCTGATTCCATTTTTGCCTTCTTCAATTCATTATCCTCACAGTGCTGAGTGATGTTTCTCAATAAAAACCTAACCATATTGTTATCCTTCTTAAAATCCTTTGTGGTATCCCATTATTTTAGGACTAAGCCCTCAATATTTAAGATGACCTATGACGCCCTGCCTGATCTTGAGCTGGCTACCTCTCCCCATCCGCTCTGCTCCCACCCCCCACTTCACACTCTGTTCTTCCTTCTCTTCAATTGCTCATCTTGCCCCTCCAGCCTCAGAACCCCACTTGGGCTCGTCCATGTCCTAGGGTGCTGCCTCTCCTCTCCCTCCACCCCTCTTCACCCTTCAGATTGCAGTTCCAGTGATATCTTGTTTGTTTGTCCCCTGCTGACCCTCCTGAGTCAGTCAGGTTCTGATTAACGGTTCATTTTGGGCTCCTTGTAGGTGATCTCTTCTGTTGTACTTATCATAGTTGCAATGAAATATTTTTATACAATAACTTGTTTAATCTGTATCTCCTTCACTGAACTGTAAGCCTCATGAAGCCAGAGGTCTGTATCCTTGGCATGTATCAAAACGCTTGGCACAGAGTAAGTGTGTAGTAAATACTTGTTAAATGAATGAATGAATATTGTCCGACTCCACTGAGGGCAGTATAAGAGGAAGTAGCCCCATATAGCAGCATGAAGAATATAGATTGAGTACTGGAAGAACTTCCTAAGGCTGAGGCTTGTTGAGCATTATACAGGGAGATTATTTTTTTTCCATAGCAGCATAGATAATAATTGATCTAGTGATGGCAAAATGCTATTTTAATGCTCAGTGAATGAAATATATATAGGAAAGAAAGGGTTGGGGAGGAATTAGCCTCTCTGGTACCCTGCTGCTTTATGAGAAGGGGGATTATTGGTTGTGACTCACTGGGGAACAGAGCTGTAGGATGCTGACAAAAGGTACTTTCACAAAGCACCCAAGCTGGGTGGACAAAGAGAAGTTACTGCTGAAGCAA